TCGGAGAAAGGCAATCAAATGTCACCAAGCCGTTTTCATCTCTGGGCGAAACCTTACTTACTTACACATGGGAGGTCACATCAGTAAATAAATAACTTCCACCCTGTTAAGTTGTCCCCAGCCCGCCCCCACTTCACTCCTTCGTCTTCCTCGGTTAGTTAGATACATACCCGGCTGACGGAACTACGACCATATCGTCATTTTTGTAGTGCCTCCGAGGAATGTGAGATAGCTTGCTCGTCGTACATTGCATGGATGTAGTCGCTCGCCCCTGGTTCTACTTTTTGGAATTAAATTTTCCCCAACCTCCACACTGATTAGATGAGGGAGAGCAAAGTCTCGAGGAGGAGGACGCCGGACGAGGAGATGGGTGGATCTGATTGCAGATTTTAACGAGTTCTCGTCATTGGAAAGGCATATGAAATATGCTTGTAAATGGAACTGTAAACTGTCCTCAGCATCAGCCTTACTTAATTTAATAAGATAAAATAAGTAGCATCATGCGTATGCTTAAGATGGAGTTGGATTAGTGTGCCATATGAACGATAGTATAAAACCATCGTTTGGAATTTCGGCCAAAGTTATGCGTGGCATCGTTGTGTGTACCACTGCAACCAAAGTTTGTTGATTTCTATCAGAGAAAATAAGAGGCTGGGAGAAGAATATGGGGTAAAAATCGACTGTCATTGTTCTCAAGCACTTTCAGCAAGAATTTTTATTTGCTCCTCGTGAGTACTTTTGCTCAACTAATGTTGTAATAAAATTCTCTGATGTACTGGCAATAAGGAACTTGATGAAGTAAATAAACTTTTCTACTACCACAGTTCAAGTTATATGTATGTACTATATGTACATGCGAGATATTTGGCCTCTTGGTTATGATGTGACATTACATTACCCACCACCGCGCTTGGGCTTTGTTGGGTTTTGCTCAATTCAAATGATCGAGTTAAATTAGAAATTAAAACCAAAATTAAATATAACAAAGAATTGTATGACTTCCCAGTGCTTTGATGAAACCATGGTCATCAAGCGTTTGAGAAAAACGCCTTCATGTGTAATAGTTTGGTGTAATAATCATCATTATTGGCCAGAAGAGGGAAGCCTGTAAAATCACCAATAAATCATTCTTATTTCAGCATCATTCATTTTTGATGGCCATTATAAGAGCCTTTTAATGACACTTTTTGATCCCGTTTAAGCCTTTGATGTAATTCCATTTTTTACGGTTGGTCACATAACTCATAACTTTTTTCTCTTTCATACATATTATCACATACTAGTAATCAAGCTGGGAGTATTTGGTTGACGCTTTCGTCAATAACAATAAATTCCTTCATGTGTATGATGATACTTTCAAGAAGGTTCCCAGGCTTGGGCAATAAGTCAAATTTTCTTCAATTTTTCATGTTTTTAATTGTAGCCTGAGTATAATTTTGTTTAGAGCTTGAACAACCTTAGCCATTAAATATATTTAGATAGACTTCTATATATGTGTACGATTTTATTGGGTATTTCTATAATCATGAAAATAATTAATTCGGAAAACCAATTCCTCGAAACTTGGTACACAACAATCATTTCGAATTAAATCCGGACCAACAATTCATTTTTATTTGTTTATTTCCTCCTCTCTCGACTATTTATTTGTTTGAAATCAACTGCTCGGTGCCCAAATTGATTGGTTGGACGTCCAACACATTTACAAATTACGCATTTCAATAATACCGGCTTACCTCCAGACGAAGGGGAGGAAAATAGTTGGAGATAAATTAAATTTGTAATACTCTTAGCTCCGTTGCGAAAAACAAGAGGAAATGGGCCACCCGACCAGCCAACCAACCAAACTTTATGGCCTTGTTGTTATTAAGCTTCTTTTGCAATAATGAAAATGGGGAATAAATGTTCATTCTTATTAAATCGGAGCGGCCGTGTGCCCTCATAATCCGTTACATTGACCTGCTATGTACATATCCAGACTTATATACACCCTATCATGGAGTGAACTGCTTTGTTGCCTTAAATTTCTGAAAGACTTTGATCTCTTCCCTTTTCGGTCCAATGGATTGCTGATTCATCAAACCAAGCCAAACAAGTTCGTATATTAACATCTTCAAGAGCCTATAAAGCTAGGAAATCAGTGGATTCTCTGATGAAAAGGAGCTTGTTCTTCCTTCTTCCTCCTCGTCACACATTTCTTGCACGGTAACTTTCTCTCAATATAATAATAATTGTAACACCGTAATTGTTGCTGGATCAAAATTTCCTTGATTTATATAAGGGTTTTGTTATTGGACATCGTCATCATCTATTACCAGACTGGATGCATGCTTGATTCTACGATTTAGTGGTTAATAATATGGCACCCATGTAAATAGTTGTAATTTGACAATATATTTAAATATTTAGGATATGGTAATATACCATGAAATTATCAATTCGTGACAAATCATACCCAATAATATATACCATATAATATAATAAACCATCGCCAAACTAGGAATAAGGTTTGTTCTAGAAATGTTTTCTACGTACTGTCCATTAATCACGGGATTGTAAGACTGTTCTATTACATACACTGTCACGTGTACTGGTTGTACATACATCATGTACACACAATTGGAAGCAAAATTCTTTTTACTCATGGACATGACGACGGATCTCGTCAAAATTATGCGACCTGAGCCGGAACCTAGTCAAACCGACAAACTCCACAAGACAAGGACTGAGAATCCAAGAAATGGCTCATGATGGCAAATGTGAAAGTTGCTCTTGTTTGGCAAATGTGAACCTAACGGCTGTCACTCTTGCTTGTTTCTGCACTATATACTCCGTAAAGGAGAAGCAAAATTTTGTGCCCGACATTTGTACTACTTAACTGGATATCGGATCACACAAAAACTTGGGCGTTTAGACATTTGCACAAACTTTCAATAATGGAGAAAGGACAGTACAAATCCGCAAATAAATCTCGCGAATCCGGCAATTCATCTCCCATCTGCTAGTCCCCTTTATTCGCCCAAATACTTTTTCCTCCTCGCCTAGACTTGAAGTGTAGCATCCTAGCAAACCAGTGAGGCAGATAACGGCTTTGAAATGATATTTCACCCATCAGCAGCATTACAGTTTTAGCCCCACGAACATTAATTCATAATAAAGCTTTAAATTGGAAAAGAGATTGTAGCGCAATATCGGTGTACAAAATTGGAAATGTACAAAATTTTGCGGTGGGTATTAGTAATTCAATTTGTGAGACGAAATTTCTAGCACGGTGTAGCATTCATTTATTCTGTAGACAGCAGCAGTTGTCGGGCAGGCTCTATTCTCATCCTCAGTCCTCTTTTACGGTAAATGACACTTGCACCAAGACGAAATGTGATGCAAGATTGTGTGCGTGCGTGCCTTGATTTAATCTTCGAAACTACATTGATTGTCTTTTTTGTAGACAACGTTATTGTGTGCACCAGTGTGTGGCATTTTACATTTTAGCCATACCTCAGATTACCTAACACACTTTTTGTGTGTTTTTGCTCAGGAAATGGTTAAGGATAACAAAACCTCAAGAGGTGAGAGCAGCCTGGATGCGCAACCTGTTTCATAAACTAAAGGAACTCATGATCACGAACTTATATCAGCAGCAGTAGCTCAACTTCTTAAGCGTGCCATGCAACCTTTCGACTTCAAACTTTGGGTCACAGGGGTCACACCTTCCACACGACCATCTTACAGAATTCTTATCTGGCATTTTCTCTTATTTGATGGAAGATTAAAGCCCATCTTTTCAATTTATGGTTCACTGTGAAAACCTGTGAAAACGATGAGAAAGTTCTCCTTGTACACTTTCCGTGTTTAGTAAACTGCCAAAGTTTCTTGCAAATGTTGTCCATTTCTTCAACAACTATTCTTTGGTTCATTTGATACGTACATATGTACAAAATCCCTCTCAGTCTGTCTTGGCCACTTAAGCAAGAAAGAAAAACATTACTTGAGACAATAGTTTTGTAGCAAACATGGTATAGTGTCCAGCAAAGGTTTTGTTTGTGTGCATAAGCTGTGTGTGATATATGTATGTTGAAATAGTAATGCCAATCCAATATTCCACACGCTATGTTTAGGCATACAAAAAATTGTGGTTAGGGAAAGAATATTTTTTCTCTCTTCCGACTCCACTAAAGGATAAATCAATGAGGGATAGATTCTTAATTTCAATGTTGGATGCAGTGAACCGCTGGAAGACGCACACGTCTAAAAGTCTGCTGAGGAGGCAGATCTTGAAACAGGACTTTATTTACTGGAATGCTCATTGACCTAATAGACTTGAGATATATTTCTGGTGAAGGCACATGGGTGAAAGGAATTGACTCGTCTCTTTTCTCTCTCCACCCCATTTTCCAGCAGTGAAGGCAGAGAAATGGTCTCTGGTGACAAATTGAGATTGGGAGAAAATAAATGATAAATGATATCGGAGGGTGATGAGATGAATGAAGGCAGCCAGTTGAAGCAAAACAACTACGGAAGACAGAAAGAAAGAAGGACAGAATTAGGACTGAGGGTGAGTCGCATGCCGTATTGTGAAATTACCTTCCTGAAAAGTAATATATTGAGTTAGCAAGTAATATTTTGTGGGCGAGCGGGGGTGAGGCTGGGAAAAAGGCAGTAAGTAATCTCCAGGAACGCTATAGACGACGAAAGAATGAAGTGGATGGGTGACATTATTAAAGAGGGTTACTTCTTATTACATGCTCGAATGCTTGGATTTTATTCTTTCTTGAAGCTCAGCCCAAGTGATCCTACTCTGATCCGAGTCCAATCCATCGTCGGATCGTCGGATGGATGGAGAGATCCTTGATCAGCTTCGCTTTACGGCACCACACACACTTCGACGGCAACTACATACATCCTTCCTACTCTTTGTCAGGGAGGCAAGAGTGCGAGGGGTGGCCAGGGATCGAATCCGTCAGAAAAAGGGTCGTGGTCGTGGCGAAGAAGAGGAAACTCAACGACACAAAGATGGATGTACACATACCCTCATAAAATATTAGAGAAAATCCTCCCTCAATATCTAAAACATATTAGGACACCAAGATACTGATTCGAAGCTGGAACAATGCGTTGCTTTGTGCACTCTGATCATGTACTTTAATATCGTAGACTTCGATCTTCAATATATTACATAATTCTGGAGAAGATTAAATTTGTGTTGAAATAAACTTTCAAAGGCATTTCCACAAAAAAAATAAGATTTGACGTGACAATTATTTCATATTGGCAATATCTTCCCTTTGTTTCATCATCTTATTATAGTGACGTCTTGACGTATGTCATGGCTTCTGTATAAATAGTATTTCCGAAAGTAATTAGGCATAATCCAAGCATTAGCGGATAATATGTTAGTGAAAGTACCCGCATAGGTGTCAAATGTCAGATCAGGCACTGAGATGGACGGATCGTTTGTTCTAAATGTGAAGTTAAATTCGTTGGACACTGAAACCTCGCCGGATGCAGGATCAATAATTTCAGCAAAAACAGGCGTGTGAATAATATTATTCTTTACAAATCCAATCTATTACATATTACAAGAAACACGTTATTTCATCCTCTGGTAATTATGCATATGTTAATGTTATAAATACATAAATCCATTAATAAGTTAAATACACAAGAGCGGAAGCGAAGAAACGATCCTATTTCAACGGGCTGTAGAAACACAATATCGTCGATCGCAATAACGTAGGGACGTTGCCGGCTGCAATCGTTGTTAACATAATTTTAATTCTGAAAAAATTACTGAAATTGACGTACTTTAACTTACGCGTAAATAAACGAGTTCATATATGCTAATTCGAATGCCTGTCGCATAATAAAACCACCAAATACTTTCCGGAAGTGGTTTCGAAACTGAAATAGTAAGCAAGATTAAGCTTCGCCGTCCATTTTGGTTATATTGAATTAAATGCAATATACATATACATTAATACATATATCGTATACATGTATGTACCAACCATTGGGTGGCAAATGAAGATCGTGCTTGACTTGGTATCACCCATTAATTTCTGATTTGTACTTAATCCTCTCGTAAAGCCCTGTTTAGTCCGTTCCAAAAACTTGTTGTGAATTAATTGTCTCTCAAGCTCATTAGGCGGACGTCGTGTTAGTGACTCTTGAGCATCAAACTTTCTCCGAGACTGTCTTTCTACAAACAATTACACACAATTGCGCAAAAATCACTACCAAAAAAGTATCTTCAAGATGAAAATCAAGTTGTACCCTTTGCCTGGTCAATGTATGCCTTCTCTTCTGTGGTTTCTGCAATAAGAGGATTTACTATTCCTGGGCCCAGACCAATTGCGTCTTTCGCAACTAGCACAAAAATAGCTTCAAAAATTGTTTCAGAGAATGCATTTCCGCGCTTCTGGTCGACTGATAAACAAACCTCTAAGAAATAAAACGTTGTGAAAATAGGCAATGATAAATGAATATGAATTGTATTAAACCTAAGCTGGTTTTTCCCACGTAAGATACATGAGCAGACATTCTGATATCCTCTGTACTCTGAATATTTATCAATTGATTAAGTTAACCGCAAAGTGTCACTAATTAAATGATCTAACATTACTTTAATTAAATCTGGCGTTAATTGAATTGTATCTATACAACCAGTGACTACAACGTGTGGAACTTTTGCCCCTGCGGCCTCCGATTTTGGATTTTTCAACTGGTTGTATGCAGCGTAAACTATTCACCATTAGCACAAAGTGACATATTCCACACATGTTTAACATAAATTGGAGAATAATATTCAAACGTATTTTTATATCATTAATGCTGTCAGTACCGGCAAAAATATCCGTGTCTTCGAGTAACCTTCCAGCACGAAGTTGACCTGAGGCCGCCAAATACCGGTCTCTGAGTTCACGATTGGAGCTCAACGGGATGATGGCCGTAACTAAGCTGTCCTTCATCGTCCTTGGTGGAAGCTGTGTATTGTGTAAATTTGTATCGCAATTAGCACCAGACTATTTAAATCCAAAAACACGCTACTCTCATGTACATTAGAGGTTAGGCCTCATATTTTTTTACCTCATCCTGAGCTTTAGGCATCAATTCCAACATTTTCATTCTTTCTTGAACAATACTCTCAAAGTCCGATTGAAACTCTGCTCGATATCCAAAAAAGTCTACCACTGCAATAATTTTCCGTAATTGCAATTTAATTTCCAATGGTGAAAGCAAAAGCAAATGTCATGATTTATTTACCATCAACATTGGTAATTTTTGGAACTTCAGTTGGATCTGGTCTTAGAAATAACACTTTTGGATGTAAACATCGATTCGGTACCGTCTGCTGGAATTTCACTCGACAATTTTTGAGGCATTTAGTCATTAAGCTGATCATTTTTTTTTACACCAAGTCGGTATTGAATGGACAAATCTTGTCAACAGTACACTACTTTTGGACATGGGAAATGCAAACTTCCTATTTCCGCTGATGGACTTTTCATGTATTTTACTTCTTTGCCATGGAGGTTGTACATTAATGTTAATAACAATTTTGTGTGCTTTGTTATAAATCAAGAAGAAGATTATTCTGAGGTGAGGAAAGTAACCAAGGGCTACCCTCACGACAGAAAAGCGTATGGTTACGGCGAAGCCTTAGTATGCTTTCAAGACAGGGTCCTAGAACTTCTGTCAACGCTACAGCTCGAATGGTTGAATTTAGTGCAAAATTGTTGAAACAAAAAAATCAGACAATTACGAAATCTAGTGTCTTTTCATCTTTCTCGTTACGAAAGTCTAATATTGAAAGAAATTTAGGACCTTTGAAATTTTAAAATGAACCGGAAATTCAATTTTGCCATACAATGATCATGCCAGTAGCTGATTTTAGTGTCCGGGCACTGATCACGCATCATTTGAGATACGTTCGAGAAAAATCGGTTGAAAAATGAGAAAGTTTTGATGGTGGTATCTGCAACCATTTACGCTGCTTAAAAGACTTTTTAGCCCGAGTCAGGGCTTATGTACCCGTCACGTCCGTCTGTCCGTCTGTCTGTCTTGCGATAACTACCGTAAAACTAATCCGATTGACTTTAAACTTTGCACATATGTCGTATGGGTCAAATGAGGAGTTAAGTTCGAAGATAGGTGAAATCGGTCAAGTGGTTGACCGGTGGGGGTCATCGGAGTGGGTGGGGTATTATGCACCAAAATTTCAAAATTTCCGTAGAAAGCTGAAATTTGGTGCAGAGGTTGATAATGGTTTCTAATGAAGGAATACAAAGTAAAATTGCAAAAATTTTCATCTCGAGGGACCCTAGGGGGTGACCCATGCTGATTTTTAAAACTTATCCAATCGAGCTGAAATTTGGTACATAGGTTGTTAATGACTACCAATGGAAGGATATGAATTGAAATTCGGCACATTTTCACCTGGACAGACCCTATGGGGTGACCCATACCAATTTTTCAAATTCGTGAAATCGAGCTGAAATTTGGTAGACAAGTTGATAATTGCTCCTAATGGAATAATGTGAAGTAAAATATGACAAAATTTCATCTAGAGGACCCTATTGGGTGACCTATACCGAGTTTTTGAAAACCTCAAGCTGAAATTTGTTAAATAGCCTGCCAATTATTATTAACCGAAGAATGTGAATTTAAATTTGAAAAATCAATTTAAATTTTTATATTTTTTGAAATCAATTTGCAATAAAATTTCATGCAAAAAAGTCGGATAGAGTGATAAGCACAACTTTGCCTGACTCGGGCTATATCAAGTCTGCACTGTAGGTTTCATAACTGCACCTAGTTGGCTGCTATTGGTGACCAACAAAAAAATTCCCACGCAAAAACCAGAAAATAAAACTACATTTAAAAAACAGCATTCTTCGGTGAGGGTGCGACTAAAAACTTTAAAACAAGAGCATTGAGCTAATTTTATAATTTAATATTTACCAACGTTTGCCTCACCGTGGGCCCAAATTGATTTTGTATTTAAATAATGCTCACGGTGAGGTAAAAGTTGGTAAATAGCAAATTTTAAAATTAGCTCAATGCTCTTGTTTTAAAGTTTTTAGTCGCACCCTCACCGAAGAATGCTGTTTTTTAAATGTAGTTTTATTTTACACTTTATCATCAACTAGCGTATAGCCCGGCCAAGGCCGGGTTCTAGAGTTCCAGTGGGGGGTGTGCCCAAAGCGAAAAATCCGTCATACTATACTTTAAATAATTCCCAGTGGAGACTTTGTCATACTACATACATATATCAGAGTGAGGGTTTGCCCAGGTCAACTGCATTTTAATTAACCTGGTCACAGTACAATTTGATTTCCCCCTGTCGGAGTAGTTGAATAGCTAATTACTTAAATTCCCGTCGTGTGGGAGTAACTGCATAGCTAACTATTTATATTCCCGCGCTTCACGCTCCCGTTCAGTTCCATAAACCCCAACTTCTATAATTAACGCCAAACTATTGACGGATTCGGATTCAGCGTCAAAAATACATTCGAATTGATATGCGACATCACGAATAAGCCATATTTGGTCGCCACGGTCACGGGAAGGTCACGGGGGCCTCGGGGGTCAAAACCATTAATGGCGTTGGATTCAGCGTCAAAAATACATTCGAATTGATATGCCACTCGCTGTGGGTGGAGTTTCTCAAACTAAAATAATTAATTAATAGTGTTTATCACGATCACTTATCATGATAACCACTATTGATGAGTGATGTATTGCTGCTCACTCACTCAATTTACTTGAACACTGTGTTTCTCATGCAGTATGAAAATTCATGCATGCAGTGGTTGCTCCGCTTCCTTCTTTGTCTACTCTACGGGGTAACTTGGACTCGATCACAGAGTCAGGCAGCGACTTAACACTAACGCTTTATGGAAGTAGATGTTGCTTGACTTTAATAACGAATTCCCTAGTATTACAATGCTAGCGTTTCTAAAATCCCAAAAGTCAAGCAATCGCGCTTTATCATTCTATATTAATGGGAACTGCTTAGGCACTAAATGTCGAGAAATCGTGGTTATAAATATGCTGATTTTAGTGACCTTTGCTGAACTTAGTAAACTTTAGAATTTTTTATCATTTTCAAGTATGATTCGAATTATCTGACCATCCAGGATTTAACAGAAATCATGACGAGTCCAAAACAATACTATGGTCGAGGAATTAAAATTAAGCACGTTTTTCAATGCTTTACTTATGTACAAAAGTGCTTAGTTATAATGCCTCAACCATAGTACTGTGCTTTCATGCGTTTCATGAAAAAACTCCTAACGTCAAGGGACAGGAGTTCGAAAGTGGACACTGTAGGTCCCACCCGTCACTGTACATGATTTTCTTAAATTATAATGACATGTGAGGGCTCAAATCTATGTAGTGCCGCTTTACCCTACGTGCAGTACCAGTGCTACATTATGGTAGCTGAAAAGGGGACCTGCTTTATGAAGTGTTGGTAAAAGTCAAGAGCTGCTTGTAGCGTGGTTGGCGGAAGGACAGCAGAGAAATGAAAAGTCTTTTTTCTGTCCTTTTGAGAGAGAAAGGAAGCTGCAGTGAAGCGACGACTTTCTCATCCAACTGCTACCACCACCAAACACATAGCACTGCATATACCAGAAGTAGCAGTAGGAGAGGGAGCCATTTGACAGGAAAGTTATTGATAACACCGGCTAGCTCGTTAATCACCGTCTAATCGATTTCGACGGGGGGAAATACCATAAGAAATTTTTTTGAAGGAAGACTTACTCAATCTCAAATAAATCTCTATTTATAAAAATTCCGAGGGCAGCGGAACTATATGTACAAGTGCTGAAGTCTGGTTGATTTACATACATATAAGATTTGTCCCCTCCACTGCACGTTGTTTCATTTTCCGAAAAAAAACGACAAAAATCATTTTATAACCTTCTGAGGTCAAAAGTGCGAAAAAACGGTCAAACTTGGGGGAAACCCTACTTTGGGGAAATTTTAGAATTTTAACAGTTATGTCAAAATTTGCCTTGTTTCAACATTAATTTCGACATACGGACTTGTTTTTTAAACGTTTCAGACGATTTAAAGATTTTAATTGTAGGGGTGTGAGACAGACACAGCTAATGCCTTATTAAACAAGGTATCCGCCCCAAGTGGTGGGGGGGGGGTAAGCCAATGTTTTGCACTTTTGACCTAGGAAAAGAGTTATTGTAGGTCGTACTATAACATGAGGTCCTAAAAATTTGTGTCGCTTTTTTCGGAAAATGAAGCAACGTGCACTGGTCTTCCTCCCCCTCAAGATGCACTTCCTGCCTCCTCACCCTTGTCAATTACGGTACGGTGGAGAGAGAGAGAGAGGTCCGACTAAACTCATTAGTTGAGATCGGATCGGGGGTGATGCCGATGACTTGACTCAAAGCGCTGATAAACCTTTTGATTTGTATTTGTTTGTCATGACTTTTTTCACACGGATGGTGGATCGGAAAACTGCACGATGGAATTGCATATATATACCATTACTCGTATACTCTACATTGATGACTTGCACATTGTTTTCAAATGATAAATCCCTGCAGGTTTTCATCAGTCATCAAGTTTAGCATTAAGCGTTTACGACAGGCACAAGGAGGAAGCGTAAGGAGAAAGTATGTAAAATTTGATGTCAAAGTAAATGACCATTAGGCGTACATATATTGTGTTCCAACTTCCAGGCAACTGTTCGAGGTGGGTGGGTCGTCTATCAGATCTGTTCTGTCAGCCAAGACCACACATTGTCAGTATCCGAATCCCATTTCACTCTTGTAATCTTGAACCTTCATCACCCAAAACAGCTTACATTTCCGAAGCTAATAAATATAATAAAGCCTTCCCTTCAGAAAAAGGAGAAATGAGAAAATATTTGAAAGTAAAACTATACACAATACGTATGCAGTGTTGAAATATGTGTCATTTTAGCAATGAATGAAAAGAATAATGTTAAATGAAACGAGAAAGTTAAATATGGCAAGTCATTTATTTTTCTGTATTTCTTTGATACAAGATCATGTAAAGCCACAAAATTGACTAAGTATATTATATATTAATATCTGAAGGTGATCTTGAACAACTATCTAAATAATAACAAATATCGTAAACTTATTAGGTTATTTTAACATCTACCGTTTGCGCCGTATTTTAGTTTAGCCTAAATTCCTTCCAATACCTTAATTATAAACTCAGATCTATTTAGTATAATTTATTTAATTAGGTTGCAATATTAGCTTTGTAATTCGCATTCGGCACTCTTTACCCAATGCAATGGTACGACACACGTACAATAAGTACACAAAACAACAATACGTAGACGGTATATAACAACAAGACTGGAGAAAATGACGTAGAGCTACTAGGACTGTCAACATACTACCTGCTACATATTCTGCAAGTCTGTGTTAACTATCACTAAATTGTACAATTGATCTTAACATATACTTAATTGTACAAGCTGGAGATGGTGTCTGAATATTTGTCGTAAACTGTTTGGCGTTTCAGCTTCAATGTGGGTCCTAATGAAATAATAATAAAAAAGTCCATATTAGTTAATACATCACTTAACACGGATATAGAAAGTTCATTTCATTCCATTTCTATGCTTCGCTTTGTCGGCAGTGCCAGGATAATCCATTGAACTCTTTTTTAGATTGTGAATTTTACGTTTATTGCTCCTACTTGAAACACTATTTACTGTTGCAAATGTACTGGAATGAGAATATTATTCTTCCAATACAGTTGTTGACCAATTTTAACTAAACTGACTCATTTATGTTTATGATTACTACTGCTGAGAGTTCCCATTATACCCTACTTTCCACAAATCCTTTATATACCAAACTAAATATATGTTTGAAGGACCAGTATTATTTCATTTACGTCGAAAAATTAGCATCTAAAATACTCTTCTTTTATAAATGGAAAACCTACAGTTACTGATTTATTAAAAATGATAAACTGAACTATTTGAGACACAATTTACTATTAACAGGGACAATAAAGCAGATGTCTCACAGTAAAAAAAACACACTCTTATTATACTTGAATAACAAGGTTTGAACAAGATTGCCAATCTTTATTACTCTGTCTCTTGATACCAATTACCTACAACTATAATTCAAACTTCTGAGTTGACCTGATAAGACTTGTCTTGTCTAATCTACAACAAAAATGGGAGAAAAGGCAAGTGAACTGGTCAGATCCATTCCTTCTGCTCCATATTACTTGTTCACAACGTACAAACATTGCTTTTGAAGAATGGCTCGTGAGAAATACAATTTTCCTGTCAATTTTCCTGATATAGTTTTACCCAATTTTCGTTGAAACGAAAACGGTATGACTAACGACAAGTGTACTTATTTTATGCTCTCCAACTCTGTATAATATACGGCATCGTGAGAATATTTTTTGTAGAAATGGAAATGAGATGAACGCACAAGTAAATATATTGACCCTAACAGAATCAAGTAAAAGAAAGAGACCTACCTAGTTCTCCTCCAAACGTAGAAAAGTCTCTGGGGAGAATTGTCCATTTTTGGATTTTCTGAGCTTGGGATGGGGCTTTCTTGTTGGCTGCGTCAATTCCTGCTTGAATTGCTTGCACCAACTATAGTAAAGTTTAATATTGTTAAAATCAAGTTAAATATTAATTACAACTTGGAGAATAGAATGATAAGCATATATAGCCGATTCAAATTTTAGCATTATGTATGTTGTACCTGCTGGTTATTCTTCTCATAGAGCTCTTGCATAACATCTTGAACAGTTTCACAATTACAGTCGGCATTTTTCTTTAACCAATCTTTTGTCACTGGTAACAATTTGTCCAAAGGTTCTTGGGTTTCTTTATCAACATCAGTCTGTACAAAAGAGAAAAAAAACAAATTCATTACAAAACATTTTTATTATTAGTAAACCAGTGTCAGATAGAACGTGAAATTAAAATGTTACCTTAAGAGTGAGAAGAATAGAGAGGAACTTGAGGCGATCCCCAAGGAGGACTGCTTGACTAACAATAGGAAGGGCTGAAAGGTTATTAAAATTTAGTTAGTACATAACTCGTTTATTATCAATCAAGTTACGGGAAATGAAATAGTACCTGTCTTCACATTATCTTCAATAGGTACGGGAGCTGAAATAGCCGTAAAGCAGATTTATTATAATAAAATCATGAAATAATCAAATCTAGTAGAAAATGGCTCACTTACCAACATTTTCACCACCAGCAGTGATCAATAATTCCTTTAATCTTCCGGTAATGTACAGGAAGCCGTCGCTATCAACTTTCCCGATATCTTCTGAGTGAAGCCAACCACCATCATCAATTGCACCTATTGTTTTTTCTGGTTGATCAAGGTAACCCATGAGTACATGGCGTCCACCAATGCAAACTTCGCCGTTTCCATCAGCATCTGGATTAGATAGTCTTGTGGATGCCCCCAAAATGGTCTTGCCACAGCTGCCAAGTCTAAACATGGTCACGTCCTGTCGCTCAACTGCCATTGCATGGGGTCCGCTGCATTCACTTTTAGTTTTTATAAACAAAATAAACGTTAAGTATGTCCAAACCACTATACAAAATTCAATTTATGAATCAACAAGTGCTGTAAAATTTTTAAAAAATACCTCATTCCATAAACTTCAGTGACAACAATGTTTAAAGAGTAAAAATATTTCAAAATTTCAGGGTTGATTGGAGCAGCTGAAAAGTAAGCACACGAAAAGAAAGTAGTTAGCAAACATAATAACACAACTTTTAAGGAAGTTTTCTTAAATAATAAAATGGGCCATGTTAAATCTTACCTCCAGATAGATGCAAATCGCATCGAGTAAGTCCCAGAGCGTCTCGAATTTTGGTTAGAATAATCTTGTTGGCTAAATGAAAAAACAAATGTATCTGATTGTTTGATGCTATCAATTATAAATAAACTGAACTGAGTTACTTACCCATTTTGAAACCAAATGTTTCTGGGTCTTCAACGCTATAATTTAATTACGTACTCGTGTAAGACAAACACATTTTTAAAAATTTCGCAATTGATTTTTTTCTTCGTTTTACCCATTCATCCTCTTCATATTGTAATCCAAGCCTTTCGCTTTAGCCCAAGTGGCGATCATTTTTTTAACCCCTGTTGTCTGTAACGCAATCAAAAAGTAAAATATTAAAAGTTTGAAAATATGTGTGTATTTTGTGAATTGCACTAATTAATTGATTTCCCACGAATTAAAGCTATAAACAATGTGAAGGGACTCACCTGGCGACCGATATCCATCATCTTTTCGTACATTTTTTCCCACACTCGAGGGACAGCTAAAGAACATTAAAAGAACATTATTCATTAGACAAATGTGGAGATTTTTGATTTCGTAATAATTTTTCGATTTCTAACCTAAAAACTTGGTTGGCTTAATTTCTTTCATGGTGTCAATCAACGTTCCCTTCAAAGCATTTTTGTCAGCAAAGTATACGGTTGCAGAGCAGGTTAGTGGACAGTAGATATCGGCCATTTGTGCAGCAACGTGGCTCAGAGGCAGGAAGCTAATATATTCTTCTACAAAATCTCTAAATCCACACAACTGGGAATTAACATCTGTAATTGATAATATCTCGTTAGTCATCTTGAACACCAGGATGTTTAAGGGTCAGATGTCCAACCAAACTTCAACTTACGAGCAGTCCAAGTCATGTTATCATGCTGAAAAATAATACACGAATATTGTAAAGTTGTTGTTATTCCTATCTAACTATGTCAGAGAATAAAATTTCTTGATAACGCTCGATTATTTACCGACAGCATGACCCCCTTCGGATTTCCGGTCGTTCCAGAAGTATAAATAAGTGTGCAACATTGGTTAATAGCGACAGTTTTTAATCGGGCTTCTAATTCATCATCTGATTGCTGGGAACCCAACATCATCAATTTTGACCAACTATAAACTCCTGCAATAACAAATAATTAAGTATTAAATTCCAAATAATAGATAAAAAATGTAACATAAACATTGTTTGTTTGTCTTTATAATCTTACCCGGGACAGTCGGTTCACCAGTGTACTGAATTATTGCTTTAAGGTGGGGGAGTTGGTCTCGGATTTCCAAAACCTATAATTAATGAAATATGAATATAGTTTCTGTGTAATGTGTTGACAGAGGTTGGTAAAAAAGGTACTGAACAGGTCATTTTGTACCAACATTACTAGTCATGTACCTTGGCAAGCTGCTTGTCATCTTCAACAACGAAAATGTTGGCTCTGCTGTCATTTCCAACATAAGCACAAGACTCTGGAGAATAATAAACCATTGTAATTAATTGTCTCGAATTAAAACTATTTGTGGATATACGTCTTAATTTAATACCTGGAGAATTCGTTGTGTAAATTCCAGCAGCGAACCCACTATAATAATAAAGACAAACCAAAAAAAAACATTAGAATAAATAATATGCAACATCATTCACTATTGAATTCTAATTTACTGATTTTTTCTTACCCAGCAAAAATTGCACCCAAATCTGAAAGGAACCTGAAAGGTGACAAAACAAACAGTATTAGGATGGTTATATTTTTAAAATTACACTATAACAAACCATTCAGGCGTATTAAATCCAAGAATGCAAACTGCGTGGTATCTTTCCAAGCCCAGCGCAATGAACCCTTTAGCTGCTGTCCGAACGTCATTCAGGTAATCTCTGGAAAACCCAAGTAAATCACAATAAGCATCCATTTTTATTATTTTTAAGGTCACATCGCAGTACTTCGAATTGAAACAATAATACTTACGTGTATGTCCATTTTTGCCAATCCCCATTGCGCTTCACCGCCATCGCAGCTCGTTGGGGGGCTCTAGAGAAGGTTAATTTTATTTATCTCAACATTCAGTCAGATGTTCAACAGAGTCTTTTGAACATTTTTGTTTTTTGGTATGTACAACCTACCGTGCGCACGCCCTCATAAGAAGATGTGGGACTGACATTGGTTTTCTTTCGGACATTTCACCAATTCCAAGTTTGCTAATTCGTGTTGCACCATCGGGATGCCATGTGTATAATGCCTCTGATGGGAGAACTTGGTCTGGTCCTATATAAAAATACAAAGAGAAGTTTAATTAATCATACAAGTTGTATCCTAGTGTAAAAAAACTTGTGGGCGTTTAAATTGAAATAAAATCACAAGTGGCGAGACGTTAATTAAACAAATGATTAAGAGACACATGCATTACACATGCATTACAAAAGAAATGTATAATGAGATGACGCACATTTAAGAATAAACTATTCGAATAACAATTTACCTTTGTCATGAACTTTTCCGTCATATTTCCATTCCAGACTTGGGTCAACAGTGGTAGGAGTAACTTCCGAGACATTAGTGGTATCGGTGGTGTGAAACGATTTTTTATCAGAAATATCACCCGACAGGCGAACTCCGTTTGTTAATTTCTTGCTTCGCACTGGGTTTTCTCCATTTAAAATCTGCAACAACAAAATATAACTAAATTATGTAAACTCTATTGCAAATCATCTCAATAACAATTTTATGTCGCACATGTAATTCATAGTTTCTACTTTTCGAAATTGGGGAATCAGTGATATTGACAAATATATATTATTGCGAATTTGGATACCTGTACAAATATATGACTGACTTGATTATACATTGTACAATTTCAATGTCGTACTTACACGTTGTAAATTATTGCATAAAGAAATTATGAAAACATTGTCATTGTTACGGTTGTCGTTGTATTATTTACCTCTTCTCCTCCATTCAGATGTCCATTATGATATCCATTGGTGTATCCATTCTCAATGTGGTTTCCGTTCTTTTCTGAGTTTTTAATATTGTCGACTGATATACCATTTAAATGACGCCTGTTGTTCTTCACAAAACCGTTTTGGAACCGGTCATTCTCATTGGATTTCTTCAGAGGGATTCCGAATCCCGTGAGAACGGGGAGACTCTCGTCAATTTGTGCAACGGATGGCATAGTGCTTCTTTTCTGAAAGTCAAATTCACAAAAACTCTTGAATACGTTTGAGTTATAGACATATAGTTGTGACTAGGTTTTCGAACTACAATACCATGAAATGATGAAGCGTTAAGGTGATAAAAGCCGGCGAAATAATATAATACTAGAAAATGATGCCAGACCCAAGATTTGTTACCAAACCAATGAGATGACAATGACACCGACTATTTTGGAGGTCGCCAGAGACCCATTCTCCAGTCAATGACAAAGTGATGACTGAATCTTGTTCCAGGTCTAGCTCAGGATGAGACCGAAAAAAGGAATGGTATGATGCGCACAATATGCCACGAGTAAATGTACCTACTACTTTGCATTCCGTCATGTTTATCAGCTATTGGCATAAAAGAGAGACCCACCTCCTTTAATATTTATCAGGTTGACCAACTCCTAGCACCATTGACCTTGTTACATTACAAAAAGTATTGTCACAATCTCATGTTAACAACACGAGACAAAACTAAGATAGGATCATACGATGATGTGATGATGCACGAAGTAAGCATAGCTCTATATTCATCCTAATATGCGTATATTTAAAATAAACAACTTGTCCAGGCACTTCTAAAAGTCGCATTGTATGAAGGAGGATGGACACAGACGTCACAGTAGAGATTTGAGGCAGACCTCATTATGTCTGGCGTATTGGCGTTAATCGATTGGTAATAAGAAATGAAAATCGATGGAAGTTCCAACTTGGAACTTTCAAGTTTTACAGTAATATGCAAACATGCGTCTTTTGGACTGGATGACTCCCGTAGTATTCAACAACCCTCTTGAAATAAAAATCCTTGGTTTTTACCTCAGTAGTATGTAATATTTCTTAGTCATTAGAATGCGCTAACTGCAAAGGCAGCTTCAAATGTGACATTATTGTCTTTTCCGGGTGGATTTCGCATTAAACAATTCATGGTTTTAAATGGAAAAACAATTTCGGACAAAAGTAAACAACCATTCAACATTAACTTTATGGTTAATTTCCATTACCAAATAACAGAGTAACAGACATAAAATTAAACCTTTGCAATTCCCCCCTTCCCCCCAATTCCAAGTTCTACATAATTATTATGGTGCGAACAAATATCTAATGTAGCACTATGAAAATATACGCATAAAAACTGCTCATTTCCTGGTGTATTGCCCCATCCAAATCTCAACCAAAAGCTATACACTATTGCGTACATCTGTATGAATGGGATATCACAAAGAGTAAGCGTAACAAGTGTATTAACTGGCGTTTAACCACGAGGAGTCACAGGTCCAAGAGACGATTCTCATTGAAATTAAAATTATTGCTCAAAGTTCGTACGGCGTATAAATTAAGACACGAACTTTGGACCTGCCTCACAAACTCAAACAAGCTCATGCCAAAAAATTGCACCGAACATAACATACAAGTCAAGGGAATAAGCATCGTACGATCCGTTTATCTATATCCCCAACCAACCTACATATAGTTTTGCACAGCTCACACATTACAAATTTTTATATTTACAGGACTTATGCATGCAACGAGTCGACTGAATGAAGCTCAAGGTTCCAAGCTATATACCTGACACAGTCCACATAGCAAACTAAATATATAACGAAAGAGTGATTTTTAATGATACATAGATTATGTTTATAACAGCATCAGCCTTGCCGTAAGCCAAGTATGGGGTAGAGATGACGCTATTACGTTCTCATCCCATCCTATATACAAATCTATAATACGAGACATTGCTGCTTACAAGTTTTCCCTTTGCTAATTATTTGCTGATGTCATAACCAAACAACTTTATTGACATTCCTGCCTGTCTCATGATGCGAGTGCACGCACTCGGAAACTTATTCTTTATTTGTTAAATTGTAATTCCAAGAAATACCATAAATGTTATTATTTTTATTTTGTTCTTCCAAATAGGTCTGATTCTAAGGAGGAGAGACCCTCTACATGCCCCTCTCAGATCCCGATGCCTTTTGCATATGTAGTAGCCCTAGGTGAGTGAAGGATAACCCTAGAGTGGTTTGATGCCATGGCCACATTTGCGCCCGCCACACCCCCTCAAAGGTGTGAAAAACACAAAAACCGACAACTTCAAAAATTCGCCAAAAATTCAATTTTGCTCGGATTTTCATAAAATTTACATTTTTGTGATCCCAGATACTTGTGTGATCATATCCAGTAGCAATCTCAACCTTTTTGAAATTTCCGAAATTTTAGGACATTCCACTGCTCATGAATTACTCGAAAATTTTCAAAATTTCAAAAAAGTTGAGATTGCTACTGGATATGATCACACAAGTATCTGGGATCACAAAAATGTAAATTTTATGAAAATCCGAGCAAAATTGGATTTTTGGTGACAGTTGAAGTACATGAAAACAGGGCTTTTTTCGTGTTTTTTACACCTTTGAGGGGGTGTGGCAGGCGCAAATGTGGCCATGGCGTCAAACCACTCTAGGGTTATCCTACATTCATCTAGGACTATCAAATATCCAAAGGGCATCGAGATCTGAGAGGGGCATGTAGAGGGTCTCTCCTCCTAAGTACAACCTTTAATTGACAATACTATAATAACTACCCATGAATGAATGTATGATAAGATAACAATATACATGTACTGACCAGATTCCTACTCGTAGTGTCCCTCATGACCACAGAGTTTTAAGTGGTGAAAGTATTCAGTTTTTTTCAGAGATAGCACACAAGTTTTTAATTTATAATCACTCTCACAGTAAAAATGAGGTTGCAGAACAATTTTTAGTGTTTGGTCAAGAATTATATATGTATGTCCATGAAACTCAGGATTCTTCAGTTGCTAGACCCGTGTAGTCGTGCTCCTGGTGTCTAATGAAGACTGTGCTGTTCTATGATTAAAGAAGATGATCCATAACCAACAGCAAGCTGGATGAATTAGTGAATGACACATCATGCCTATTTACTACCCGTTTAGATTGCATCATGTGAAATTTAAATTTGTCTTCATAGTAAACAAACCACGTCAGCATAACACGAGTTTGGAGAAAGAAGACGAGGAGATTGCTATCGCAAAATCATAGCAAAAAAACTGCACAACGAACGAGCAACTCGCATGTTTGTTACGTCGTTACTCTGAGGAGGGGAGCTTCACCACCTGCCCCTCTCAGATCTTGATGTGCTTTGGATATGTGGTAGTGTCCTATGAGTGTACTAAAACCCTGAAGTGGTTTGACTCCATGGCCACAGTTACGCCCGCCACACCCACTCAAAGGGGCCAAAAACACGAAAAAGGCCCTGTTTTCACTTGTTCAAACCCTCGCCAAAAATTCAATTTTGCTCGGATTTTGGTAAAATTTACATTTTTGTGATCCCAGATACTTGTGCGATAATATCCAATAGATATCTCAACTTTTTTGAAATTTTGAATTTTTTCGAATAATTCATCAGCCCGAAAATGCCCGAAAATTTCGAAAATTTCAAAAAAGTTGAGATTGCTACTGGATATGATCAAACAAGTATCTGGGATTACAAAAATGTAAATTTTATCAAAATCCGATCAAAATTGGATTTTTGGTGGATTTTTGAAGTTGGTAACTTTTGTGGTTTTCATCCCTTTGAGTGGGTGTGGCGGGCGCAAATGTGGCCATGGAGTCAAACCACTTCAGGGTTATAGTACACTCATGGGACCCTACCACATATGCAAAGCACATCAAGATCTGAGAGGGGCAGGTGGTGAAGCTCTCCTCCTGAGTCAATGCTACGTAGGAAGGATCCGGTGGTCCCACTTTAAGCCCTGCCCATTTTGGCCATAATATACTGGCTGCTTATTATTATCATAGTTGGGGGGTTGACGATGATGACGATGACGACTACGTGTACCACTTACTTATAGCTTGTGATTTACACAGAATTTAGTAATGTAATGTGACAAGAATAATAAACGCATGTTTTGTGCTAAGTAAGTTGTGGATGAATCATTCATTCATTTAGTGACCTTTGTTGTGTTTATTTCTACATGCTATGAGCGGACGAATTGAAGCTCAAACTAACTAACTAATTTAACTTCAATGTTGCTTCATTTCAAAGGAGAGTATCAAATAGAATAAAATCCTGGACTTCATGGAAAAGTAAGCGAGTGGCTTCGTATCGGAACCGGTGATTGATGCAAATATTATCATTTATCACGCCATATGTGTGGCGCCGTATGGACACAAAAATGGACAGTACATAAGTGACATAAGCTACACTTGCACAAAACACAAGGATAATTTGATAAATACATTATCCAGAAGTATGAAACGAGCGAGGAAGACCAATATGAAATTGCAATTCTTCATCAACACGTGTATTTATGAGCTACATAAATATCGGCTGTTTTCATAATATCACGAAAGCAAAATGTAAGAATTTTGATTCACAGCTGACAATTTCACAACTCTGAACCTATGCATATGAACTATTACTTGCAAATAGGAAGTACAGTAAGTAGTGGTGAATGAAAGATGCAATTTGAACTCGTAACTCGTTGAAGCTGTTGAGAATATGAAAATCTCCCTCGCGCTAGCCTGACAATTCACAATTGGGAATTTGGACAGGTCATGCTAGTTCATGTGCCACACAAACCTGATTTGCCATTTGCCTGTGTCTTGTTCGTGTATGAATAATGCAATATTAGCTGCTTGATGTTTCTAGAATCTCATTCTCCCTTTACTCTAATTTTATCACTTGCAATATTTTTTTGATTGTGTGCAAAAAATAAATAACATCTAATTAAAAACACCATAACCCAATAAAGAAAAAGAGAGTAGTACGTGGAATGAAATGCTTACCGTTTTTCAAGATGTTTTTACACGAATACGAACAAAATACTTGTGATAGTTTCTTTGTTTTTGGTAGATACTCACAAAACTTTCGATTCACAATACGTAGTAGTTTTATAGCTATTATTCACTCTGTTGAAATGACTTTGCTTTGTCTGTATTTATAGCTTCGTTGCCTATTTTGACTTGATTTCAAGTATGTATGAATTTGCATAAACCCTGTTTTATCCTTATTCTCAACTTTCAAAAATGATTTTTGGAAAATCCCAGTTCAGTTAAACCAAGCTACCCGGCGAGGAGTTAACTGTTTACTAAATCCAAGCAAGACCGTCCAGTTGACTTAAGTACAAGTTGGGTCGAGTTAAAAAATCTCACGTCTATACGCTTCGCTATGTGAATTATATATATGCTCACAACTCAAATACTGCCTAGTTCTAATTATGATGGCTTATGGCTGGCGTGCCGCACTTCGCCAATGTACTAATTTTATATCTGTTTTAAAGCGTGTTGCTACCAATGTGCAGTGTCACTCACTCCTTTAGATATTCACTTCTTTCTTTCTAAGTATTGCTCCTATATAGCCGTCTTATGTTGCAGTATAATTTTGTTAAAAAAATGATGAGCGGACTTTGACTACTTATAAATGTAATTAACTAATACTGTGCACTGGAAACTGAGCAAGATTGAAGATCTTATCAAATTATACTGACGATGAACTTCTTTTCACTCTTCGTCTAACTGATATTTTTGATACTTTGGGCTTGGACTTTACAACTCGTGGTCAATCGACTACATCAGTCAGCTGAACGATCTCTAAAATGATGTGACAAATGACAACAGCGTTCAATTACTTTGATTTTCCTAAATAAATCCAATTGTTGCAAACTAGTGAACCTCACAACAGTCGATGATTGTATTGGGTTAGATTTGCCAAAAGTTAGCCATTTGATTGTGGTATAGGACAATTACCTCGTTCACCATGTAATGTATGTAAACAATCAAATATTAGAAATCTATAATGCAAGAAGAGGTACCACAGGACATCAATGGTATAATCGGCTTGCGAATTCGTTGGTCTGATTATGTTGAGAATCTTATAAAAGGTGCACTCACTCGGTTCACTTTGCTAAATTCTACTTTTTTGCACATGTGTAAATGCCGACGACCAAATGATATACGCTCAACGTTATTTTACAGCCTACATACCACCACCCAAAAACACACGAGAAGTAGTATCATAGTAGATTTTTTTGTGGCTCCTTTCATTACTATTGAACAGATGGTGCAGAAATTTTGCGACAAAACCATAGTTTAAAATATGCCTTTCAAAATTATGGAACTAAAGGTAAAAATGGAAAATGATGACGTTTATTACCTGGATATAGTTCGAGACGAACCACGTTAGGTTAAGCCGCGGAGGTAAAAAAATCTGCTCCAACTATCCTTCTACCTTTTGTACTCTAGAATTATTTCACACAAGTAAGTGAAAGAAAATTTAGGAAATTTCTAACAATCGGGTTTGATTTCCGAAAATTCTTCATCAGTGTGTGAGCGACTCCTCTATAGCCAGATCACACCACCAGCCACCGCCAGCCAATCAGAGACTCTCGCAACAAAAAGGTGATCCAGGGTCTGCTCCTCTCCCTCGTAATTTGTGGGTGGTGGTGGGGAAAATTTGTTTCGAAATTTTTTTAAAAATCATCTCTCAAAAACTTTCCCCTTATATTTGTTGTGCTTGTCTGCTATAATTTCTTGAGTCACATGTGTTTAGGTGGAGCCGCCCCAGTCTATGTCATATGCAAGTTCATTGCATCCCATGTAAACATTTGAGAACGCATATCCTTCCTCAATTTGAATGAAATGACGTGCACTGCACAGACTGCTGACTTATTAGTTTTAATTAAGGATGATGGGAATTGCGAAAAATTCTGGAAATTTTTCTGGAAAGTATGAAAAAAAGTTAGGGAGGTATAAGGCCGCATACTTGCAATTAGTTTTCAGTTCAACTACTTACTATTCATTGTGTGAATTTTTCTCGAAGATCCATCTCATTACTACAGACCTCACGTGCTAATTTGTTTGGCATCGAGTTAAAAAACTTATATGCAACAATGTAAGTTGCATATCATTTCATGCAACATTTCATGCTTGAATGGTAAGAGTGCTTTAAAGTATTCATATTGTGCAAGGCTTGTTACATTTTTCATATTTTTATGACGGCTACGTGTAATCAATCAAATACAATACTTCTAGATATACCAATTACCCGAATTTATGAAGTGGTATGTGTTTATCGGCAAGAATGCTGAGAGGTGGGAATTTTATTTTTTCGACAGTTTTTTGTCTTATACTCGCTATTGCGTAATTATGTAAGTAATGTGTATGCATGTGGCGTGGTTTGAGATCGGAATCTGCATCACGATAAATACAATTTAAAATTGATGAGGATGAACTAAATGAGAACCGCCTCACAACTTCCAAAATAAAATGGCCAGACTTTTTCCGTCTGTGATAACATTAAACGATGAAACAATAATAATAATCACCCAACAAAACTAAAACAAGGATACAAAATATATATATAATGTAATGCTAAATGTAGGCTTTATGGCCTGCGAGGAAGAACAACTTATTACCTGGTGATAATGGTATGACCATTGAACCAAATAGTGAGCCGTCCAATCGTAGCACAGCAAATAAGTCGTGTCAGGTGGGACGATGACACGTCTATAGTGCAGGTCATACTGCAGGTACGTAAGTCGAGCCAAATATTTACATAGTTCCGAGGGAATATTGTTTTATGGTTACTTTTGAATTAGGAAATAAATGTGTAATCATTGTTTTTTTATCTTACAATAAGTATAATCCACCTTTTGAAAATGGTGACATTTTGAGCTTCTTAACTCAGAACCTGCATATGCATAGTAATACTATTACAAAACTTCGTAATGATAACATTAATGTGGCTGTAGATTTCGCTGTATGAATCGATGGAGAGAATTACATGAGTTAATTGCATTTTCTTAAGCTGATTAACAAGTGCATCTCATTTAGATGCTCATTTTTTAATTCTCGGAAAAATAAACTTGAATATTTCCGTGAACAGCTTCATCTCACAACAGTTTTGCATAAAAAAGCCGATGACGGTTTCAACTTTCCGTTTCTGTCATGTTCGTTTTGTTGATTAAATTCCACGACGGAGAAAGTCGGGCTTTTGCGTTGAATCGTGAGTCATTCTCATAGTAAGCAATACAGTTTCATGATTCTCTCCATATAGACTTGGGTCATAGCTGCCCAACCTCAATGCATACATGACCCCAATATATATATATATATATATGTACAGTCTAGGTCGTCTCCCATGTCATGGAGAAAGTCATGGGTTCAACTTTGCAACTGCAACTAACTTCTGCAAGTCGGAGAATGAAGCGACCACGCCTACGCACTGTCCTATTGATTGACGTTAACATGTTCCAGCCACGCCACGTTCTTTCGTTCATTCGCATATTATTCTACGTGGAGTAGTGGTGGTACGACTGTGACTCATGGCCCGACCTGATTTCATATATCAGATAAATATTTATTGTATACGTATGTGCACTTGTTTGTTTGAACATTGGGTTCCCACGTCGAAAAGTTAATTGCTTATTACATATACATATGTACATATGTACAATTACCAGCGTTGTGCACATATGTATGATCCCTCAAAATCATTCTCTTGGGGTAGGTCAGACCAGACGACATCCTAGAAAAGTCTACGAGAACTGCTCATATAACAAATTATATATATATAAATCAGTTGCATATGAAAGCTCGAATGGCATGTCACCAATACTTAATACTAAAAATTACCAATTATTATCTATTCAATTCTATGAATCTATTCAAGTTATGGTACGGAATTACACCAATATATTGATGTAATTTATTTTATAGCTATTAAGTTGTAATCGATTTAAATAATCAAGTGTGTATGAATCCATTTCCGACATTTGACCCCAGGTCAAATACTTGGCTCAATTACCATCTTAATTTTTAACTTCAGGCTGTGCATGACATTGATTCTCTTTTCAAAACAGGGTTCGAAAAAACCCAGGGTTTTAATCAAAAATTATAAAACCCATGGGTTTTAATGGGTTTTACCATGTTAATTGGGTTTTATTTGGGTTTTAATGGGTTTTATTGGGTTTTATTGGGTTTAAATGGGTTTTATTGGGTTTTAATAGTTTTAAGTAATAATTTAACAAAAATTATTCGGAATTTGTATCTATTCGGAAATTATTTTTGTTTTACAACACTTGAAATCTGTGATGCTAAAGAATGGAGTCAATTGTTGCTTTGTTCCGAATTTTCATATATTATGATAGTAATGAAATAAACTGCTTTAGAATGAATTGAGATAACGTCTTTTAATGTATAGGAGATGTATTTAACTTTTAGAATATAGTTTTAAGGTAAAACTCGATTAAAACCCAATAAAACCCATTAAAACCCAAATAAAACCCACTTAACATGGTAAAACCCAGTGGGTTTTATTCATTTACAACCCATTAAAACCCATTAAAACCCAATAAAACCCAACCCATTAAAACCCAGGTCGGAATACCCTGTTTCAAAAACACCAAAGATTCGGCTTGTCGTTTAGCGTAAAGGGACAGAGAATTTTTATATTTTCATGACACTGGTCACTTATGTACATAGAAAGTTTATGTATGTAGCTTTCTCCAAGGTTTTCATAGGTTTTACGGGTATTTATGTTTCATAAGGACGTGAGCCTTCAATGAGCGTACCATACATGTGACGGGACCAGGAAGCAGATAATAATGTCTCCTCCATTATTGAATGGCGGCGTTATCTTGTTAAAGCGGTGAATCAGTTTTACGTTTGTCATTCGATTGATTGGGATTCGTTGTTCAGGCTGATAAATTATCATGTCACCTTTTTTTAGAGGTGTCATTCTCACCCGATAGTATGTCATCTATCCTGACGTGTTTCCAACAGGCCAACAAGTATCCTGTTTGAAAATTTAGCATGTGCGGTACCTATATCCTCAACTAATAATGTGCCAATTTACATACTACCAACTATGTATTTATTCCTAAGTGTGTAACTACTATATCCATACATACGCATTACGAATATAAAGCATATATAAAGCATGGTAAACCCATTTATGTTGTTCGGAAATTTGTTCTCAAATTCATGATGTTAACTAATAATTAAGGTATTTACGCTTTTCAATGACTATTTCGAGTGTAGTTTTATATAAATCATTATTAACGAGCAGAACGAAGCGAAGTGTACATAGTTATTGCGAACGATTTATCCGTCTGTCCGTCAGCACGATGACTTTCGAACGAATCAAGGTTTTTAGTTCTTCTATCGAGTATCGACATCTCATTATTGTAAACATAAGACGGACTTGTAGGTCAAAAGGTCACGGCACCACGGTGATGAGGTGAAAGGCCAAAAATGTTGCATTTTGTATTTTGACAGTTTTAGAGGGGGATTTCAGAAATCAGTCAGTCGCACGTACACCGTCCTGGTGCCCGTGTAAACGAGGTCAAAGGTCACAAAATGTCGAAACATCAAAAATGTCAAATTATCATAACTAGTCAAATAATGTACCTCGAGTACGGATCTAAATGCACTCCGCTTCGAGCTTATTATATCTTATTATATCTGTTGCTGGAGTTTATTAATTCAAAACAAAGACAATTGTGGTATTTTATTGGCAGCATCGACACAGTGGGATGAGAATGGGTAAAGCCCGGTCTCATGAAATTCACTCTAAACATGCCATATTCAACTGGCAAAACCCAAAAGTCATTGACAAAGATGTACCATGCTATTCATGGAGGCGTTAATAAAAAATGAGCGCAGAAGAAATTTTTTGCATTATTTGGCTAAAGTATTGTTACTGTTATTGTGTTCCCAAATCATCACGACATCATTATGCACTGAACACATACAAACATATACCACTGGATTGAATTTTCCAAGA